CAGCTTTAAAACTACATTAATAGCACTTTCGGTTACAGTTATCACTAAAAAACTATTGTTTTATGTCTAGACTTCTTCTTATTTATCGTTAACTCTTCTCTACATTCAATAACATTACGCATGTGTCTGATTCCATGGGAGTATAATAATGCATATTCTTTTATAATATTTATGTCAAATTTTCTTTATTTCTACTTTTGTTTCTTCTTTCAAAATATTAATAGAATTTCGATTGAATTTCAATACTAAATGAAATCAAGTTTATATTACACCCGATAGCCTATAAGTTATAGGCCATAAGTCTTAGGTCATTAAATCTCAATTCTACAAAACATACCAAAGATGAGATGCAAAATCAATGATACGGAACTTGTTTTCACACAATATCATAATTACTGATTATATTTTTAATATTGTCAATATGTAAATCAGATTAAAAACAACAAATAATAATTTACTGGTTAAATGCTAAAAGTTAATGCTATACTTACATTACAAGTTAGTACCTAAACCGACTAAATGTATACTAATGTGTAAGTTTGCATATTCTTTATAGATGTACAGTTGGATGTATAGTTGGAAATTTTTTATAAAAAGTTCATATAAATGAGAATTTGGATTTAAAATAAATTTTGTTATACTTAATGTCAATACATTCAGTCTTTATTCCTATAATTGAAACACAGGTGAGATATATTCAATCATTCAACAAAGAGTTTTAGTCGAAAGAGCATTCACTCTCAACACAATCCGTTTTCTCCTTAATTTTTAAAAAATCAAATTTATTGTTAAGTCAATCATTCATTTACTTAATTTCAATACATCCATAATATGTCCGCTTCTCCGAGTTCTGCGAGTAGAAATAGCACGGTAATTTTTGGCGCATATTTTATAAAATGAATATACTTTAATATATTTTCAATTGATTAGATGACTACTATTGCAAAATTCAAAGACGGCTTGTCTTTCATCGAAGCCATTAATAATGTGCTTCAGAAGAAGAGTCCGATTAAGTCGAGTAATGCGGACCAAAAGTGGTTGATTTGGTATTGGAAGCCAAACAATGGCAATGACTGGCATTGGGAGGACTTTCTGCAACTCAAAGCCTCGTTCACCACAAAAGACGACTTCTGGAGGTTAGGAAAAGAAAAATGCAATGAATTTGTTTAATAATTATGTGATACGATTACAGAGCGTATAATGAAGTGAATGGCTTTGAATTTGGACTTTTGAGTTCACACTATAACTACTGTGTGTTCAAAGAGGGCATCAAACCGATGTGGGAGGACTCGGCCAACGGTCGAGGGGGTCGTTGGGTACTTGAGTTTCCCCGAAAGTGGGACTGGAAACACGTGACCGTTCTTAACGACATTTGGCTTAAATTGGTTGGTATTGTATATCAAATCATATGCAAATTCTTTATTGTTACAAACTGATAATTACCATAATTTAATACAATGTACTTTTTAATAGTTGTTATCAATTACTGGCAATAATGGCTCATTCGATGATTGTTCCGATGATATTTGTGGAGCAGTTCTCATGATTAGACACAATATCAACAAAATAGCCATTTGGACGGCGAATGCCGACAATACGCTGGTTAATTTGATGATTGGGTAAATTATATCTTAAAATATCAATAAATGTTTGTTAATTTTGGTGCAATTTTAGCGAAATAATTAAAGCCAACACCGGATTCAACGGTAAGATGTATTACACTTCTCACAACTCAAGTGATCAGAAGATTGTTGTGAACAGAGAGAAAAAGATACGATTTAAAGGCTCTCCAATCAACTGAAATCCTAAACGGTGTATATTTTATTTGCAGATTTAATTATTCAATCAATTAATTTAATATATAATGATTTGTATCATGTTAAGTTGTGATTTGTATATTTTAATAAATAAAACAGTTTTATTATAAACTATATTTTGCATAATTTATTTATCAAATAAACTACAATTATTTGTCACTTAATTTTGCACTAAATGTTTGAGTAAAAATTCAATACATTTCAAATTAAATTATCGTAAATAAATTAATTTTGTTTTTAATGTTTAAATCAGTATTTACTAGACATTTATATTAATATTTTGTAAAATGTGTTTTCGAGAACATATTCCTTATTTATTCAATAATTTTGTTTCGTATATTGGTATAAATAAAAGTATCTCGATCAAAAATGTCAAAATTTTACTTAAAAATAAAATAAATTAATGTTTAAATTAAAGTCAAAACAATAAAAAAAAGGTAAAAATATTTGTCTGAAAGTTAGTTATTATGTAAATATGTTATAAGGAATTAATAAATAATTTAAATTATATGTAAAAACATGGATTTGTTTGATATAAAGCTGCATAAAAAAATGTCTGAAATACTAAATACAAGTCATGTCTTATATAATGCTTACATTTCATAAAATATTTAATGAAATAAACACTATTTGTATAAATTTTTACAATTAAAAAACATTTTTATTTTTAATTTAAAAATGCTTTCTGTTTGACAATGATTTCAATCCATTATTGAATTATTAGTACAAATGTTTCAACACATGATGTCCTTATAATTTAGACAGTTTTCTACAAAAAATGTTTTTATAATCAGAATATTCTGTAAAAAAATTCTGTAAATCTCAATAAGTTATTAGAAATTCAAAATAATAGTCAAACCAATTAGTCATAGAAGAAATTGTGCACTAAAGCAAGCAATGAAATGT